TCAAGCCCTCTGGATATTGTTAGCCGCTTATCGACCACGCCCGTTTTGGATTACTCTTCTGTCTTGCCCTCAATATACCTGTTTGCCATTGTCTGACCCATGCCTGTTTTATGACCACGTCTCTGTCTCCTATTAAAGCTTTGCAAATGGATCCGCAAGTCTCATGTCTCGTTCGCTCCGTAACAATAACGGAGAAAAAAAACAACACAAACATACACGTAGCACACACATCCCAAAACAACCATAGGCTATGTAGAAATATAATCTTAATCCTAAACACAATGAATTACAGCTTTATTTAAAGTGCTAAAATAATTGCTTCCTTTTTTATCGTCAGTTCGGCCCTGCACTCTGATTGTGTTGTGTATTTTTTGAGGGCCATCTCAAGGCTGGTCAGAGACCCCATGCAGCTCCTGCTCTATGTGCAAGAAGAAGCTTTGGCCGGAGATAATGAGGCCCTCCGCACGGTTTCCACACTCAGTCCTGCTGCCTCTGAGGACTCGAGCCACACGTGCAGTGGATACAAAACCCCAGACCCCCACATTTATCCTCACTGGCCCCTCTGTATCTCCACTCTAATGGTCTGGACTCATCTGAAGGCCAAAGGTAATTTGATGCGCTCTGCAGTAATGAGCGTGGTGTTGCTGACATCTGGCCCATAAGGTGCAAGAAGACAAGCGAGAATACAATGATGGATTACAAAAATACTGGGGACTGCAAAGCCTCAGATAAAGAGGAGAATCTTTTCTTGTATGAGCAGAAAGTCAGGTATACTCCCTTAGGCCACTGCAGACCTTCTGCAAAAAAAAAAAAAGAGGAAAGAAGGTCAAACCATGAAGCCAACACTATGCATTGTTGTTCGACTTTGATGACAGATGGTCATCCAAACATTTGGAACATATTTGTTTGACAGTCAGCAGAGTCCAAGTGTCAGACATGGAAAAAAGAAAGCATTCCAGGTGGAAAATTAGAAATAACACTTGGAAATTACTTTTCGTAATTTAAAATGTTTATTATAAACTAGATAACCCTGAAGGCAACTATATATTTTTATCAATACAGACCCTTTTTTATTGTGTAAAAAATTCATATCATAAAGGCTACATATTGTTTCTGTAAATGTAAATTCAAAATGTTGCGGATCTTAATATCTACATCATACTAATATATTAATATAAATGAATAAAAGTTAAATTAACTTTGGCAGCCCTAAAATTTCATTTTGTGTGTGTATACAACACACACGCACGATAATCTTAAAAGTATCACCCTGGGACACGGTTTCTGGACTTCTTTAAACCATAGACACAGAAACAGGCTGAGAAGTATGTATGGGAACAAACTCTGAGAAGATCGAATACGACAAAAGTCCTCCCCTTCAAAAGAAGCTGGCAAAAATGGACATTTGCAAGCTTTCTTTTAAAGAATGACTAATTAAGAAGCAATTACATATGACAACAACCATGAGGAGGAAGGAAAGCAAGCCGACCTTTGACACGCTCTACATTATACCATGACTACAGGCAACAGCCATTTACACATCAAAGCAGAGTCTGATAAAGAACAGTCCTAAAATTTGCTCTGTGGAGAGCTAGTCTCAGAGCTCTGCTGTGTCCATATAGTATCCTAACACAAGTATTATCAGCTTTTATCTGCGGCTGAAGAAATGGGCTATTAGGGAGTGCAGAAGAAACCATTTATGGGGTGCATTCTTCTTTTTTTGTCTTTATGGTTCTACGCCTGATCAATCATCCAAGCATGTTTGACCAAAACAAACAGCGTGCGAGTCCACATTCCTCTTTTTCAACAGGCTCAAACTCAAAGGACAGAGACTAGGCTATTTGTCCAGCAAGAACAGGATCACACACTCATTGAATATCAGGCTGAGGGATCTTTATCGCAGGTTCCTCTGATGTATTACCTGCTGCTGACTTCTGTAGAACCTAATCCGGACATACACTTCAAAAGTTCAAGCTGTGCTCATAAATGTATTTAAATGTTGTAAATATGTAAGGCAATGAGTAGAAACATGAGGAATCATGTTGCACAAAGGTTACTGGCTCTAACAAACGACATGATTTCAACATTTTATAACAAAGCACTAAAAGGTTTAGTGAAGGCTGCAGAACTTTTAGATAAAGTGAAATATAATCTCTGCCTGTCCATGCAGTGAAGTAAAGCACTGTGTACTGTCAATGCACCACTTTCAAGTTCAACTCGAGGCACTCTGCTGCTATAAAAGAACCACAAGAAAATGGAAAATAAATCCAAGGGGGAAAGCTTAATGAAGTATCGATGAAATTCTTGACTGCAAGTGTAGATTCATTCTTTCAGCATTAGACATCTCTGAGGTGCGGCTCACTGTGTAACTGAAATAGCAATAGCTATGTACTGCCACCTAGAGGAGGAGGAGGGTGTAGAAAACAGGCTCTATCGATACTCTTGACTTCTAACACTTTTGAGACAGCCTCAAGCAGTAAAAATAAGATACATTGGTTTAATGTAAACATTTTTAAATTAATAAAAATCACAAGAATTTGTATATAAATACAACAGACAAACTGTGTGTTTACAGTCACATTGAGGCAGTTTATTGACCCAAGGACAAACTTAAATGTTTAAGCTCCTCAGCTCAAATATTTCATTTTACAAATGAAATTACATAAATTTACTACATAACAAAGGAAAAAAAAACACGATAGAACATTATCAAATGAGGAAATATTTAAAAAGCCCTGAAGAATAGAGCTACAAGAAGGATGATTAAACATAACAGTACATTTGGAAAGAATGCATTCATTTAATACAGTCACACATCACCATATCCACAAAATGAGGGGTTAGTCACAATAAGCTTCTCCAGGAATTTTGTATCAGTTCACAGATTAAAGCCTGGAATGAGCTGCCAACGGACCACACAACACCGTGTGTGTGTGTGTTTATGCATGTATATTCACAAATTCCCTTTTTGTTCATTCATTTCACTTTCAGTCCAGCTCATTGAAACGTGCAAACATGGCCTTCCGAACTGCCTGTTTGTACGTGGCATGATTCCAGACGACGGGTTCCTTCTTCTTCCGCTTTGGTAAGAAACAAAAGAAAGAGAAAAAAATGAAACCAATGCCCCTCAGCTGCTGCAGCTCAGAACATCCTGTTGCGGAATAGACTCACCTCAGTAGTTTCTAAACCCAAACCTGGTCTCTCGCTGCCTTTATGACTGTCCCTGCAACAACAACAACACAACATGCCACATTTAAGATATGACGGTTCAATATCAGTGCCAAGTGTAAATGAAATGTATTAGGATTCAGAAAATCACAAACCTTGAGCTGCCGGCCCATGTGTTTTGTGACTTTCTTCTTTTTGTTTCAGGTGAACCGTTCGACTGTTTTATTTTCATCTAAAGAACAGGGGTTCAAAATGAGAGTGAATCATTTCATTTCAGACTACTGTGAGAAAACAATGGAGAATATGTTTGAAATCAAGTATAATGTTTAAAGCACATGCTGACCTGTAAGCAAAATGTTGCTACTAGAAATAACTAGATAGATAGTCTAGCTAAGAAGAAATACAGTACTTAGCATAAATGAGTACAGCCCCTCTAAAACTTGACAAATTTAGCAATTAATCTTTACTTAGAAGACATATTAGCGGTCTGTGCATGTTTCAGCAAGTCATTTACTAAAGAGACATGTGAAAGATTGTTTTCTTATCAAAGTGATGGTGTTGTCTTGCAAAAATGCACCCTCCTAAAAGTTACAAAGTAAAACTAAAAAAATATCTGGTGTTACATAGCCCACTAAATCTATCTCAGGTATAATGCTGACAATAGTGGAACCATTTGGGAGAGAATTTTCAGGAGATTAATTTCTTTGCACAAAAGAGTGACAATGTCCCTGAAATAATTACACACTTCACTTGAAGCTTTCATTTCATGATGAGTGATATTTTGCTAGTAAAAGAACAAAAAAAAAAAAGCCATGTCTCAGAGCTGGCAAAAGCTATGAAATAAGTGACTGTTTCATCTCGGACATTACCTACTGTAGCCAAAGCACAAACTCATTTAGCTTTTTCCAAGGCCCATATTTACAAAATATAGACTTCTGGGAATCCATAATCTGGTCTCATGAGACCAGTTCAATCATTTTGGATCTAACAGCATCCAAAATGTTATGGTGCTTCTAGAGGAACAATATAGTGAGAAGTGCCTGGTTCCCACAGTGAAGTTTGGAGCTTGTGAAGTTCTTATATAATACAAAAACTTTAAACTGAAGATGCAACCCTCTCTTCATTACAGTACTATAGTACTATACTTTAATCAAGGGTGTACTCATTTCTGCAACCCTTTTTTTAAAACCCATTTTTGCCATCTCTCCACAATTTATTTTAGGGATCAATAAAGGTGACATATCATGAAAATCTGACTTTTACAGGTTTTAAGTGCTATACTCAGGCCCCCGGTGCATCTACCAACCAAGGAAACGTGAAAAAGATTAACCCAGTAACTTTGTTTTGGTAAGCCTTTTTCTGCAAGCGTCTGAGAAAACGAGCACGTCTGATTTCGCTCCCTTGGTGACGTGGCAAAGGGATCTCATTATAATATTACCACCCCTTAATCTGTAAGTTTTCACCCACTGTTTTTAACGTAAACTTGTTAAACGTGCTAATGAGAACTTAGTTTAGTACTCACATGCTGTGACAGCCGTTTTCTGTACGTGTGCTTCAGATGTGTGCGCCCAGAAAACGTATATCAGAAGTTTAAACTAATATGGTTTAAACTGCATGATTTCAGCGCGATAAACATGATAATTTGAACCAAAACAGATGTTTTTAGCAGGTCCCAGCTGTAATGGTGCAGTTCTATTCTGGAAAAGGGGGCGGGGAGCAGCAGCTCATTTGCATTTAAAGAGCCAGGCCCGAAAAACAGCGTGTTTCTGCTTCCACTCAAAATAGGCATTTTCAAAATGATGTAATAAATGATCTGTGGAGTATTTTGAGCTGAAACTTCACAGACACATTCTGGGGACACCAGACACTTATATTACATATTGTAAAAAGGGGCATAATATGTCTCCTTTAAAAAAAATGTATTTTTCCAGAGGGGTTGGCACTTGTTTATGCTGAGTACAGTACATAATTAATAAAATAAAAAAAATACCTCTTTTTCCTGGTTTTCTAGAGCCTCAAGTTCTCTCTTCGACCTTTTGATTTTTAGGTGAATCTCCATATTTTGCTAAAATAAAGATAAAAATAAAATTAAGGGAAGGTCAAAACCTGACCCACAAATTTCTAAACAATCCAGTTTAGTCAATTATATAATTTATATACTTATAAAAAAAAAAAAAACTGATCAAAATGTATTTATATAAAGACTACACTTACACACACAAATATTAAAATTAATAATAATAATAATACATATAATAAGAATAACAACATTTCTTTATACAGTTTTAATAACTGATTTCTGACACCTTGCATTAAGTCCACAGTCCTGATAGATCATAAAAGTTTCATTTAGAGATCTGGTACCTTATGCAGGTCTGAGAGCTGCTGGTGGCGGATCAGAGCGTCTTTATTAGGGAACTGCCTCCTGCACAGAAGACATGCCATCTTCTTCCAATCTGTCAACTTGTCTTCCTTCTCGTCCGCCTGTGGCTGACTCTTTGCGGGCCCTGCGGCTTCCTGCTTCTCGTGTTTCTCTTCTTCCTCCTCGTCGCTGCCTGCCCCATAGTCAGCCGCCAACATTCCAAGAGAGCCCATGGGCCGCTGCCAACACACAAGAGGGAGAGAGGGGAGTTTTGCTTTGATCTACAATGACACTCACTGTAAATCTGCTTTAGTGTGGGTTATCAAATAACCTACATCAATCAGGGTCAAGGTGATGTGTGTGCCCTTTCAGCTGTTTGGGAAAACTGAGACTGAAGTGTATTTGAGTGCACGTTAATGTGTGTGTGTTGTTAATAAGACTGTAAACTCTCACCTTTGATGATTTTTCCTCTTTTTGTTTTGGTGGAGCAAGAGGCTTCTTGAATAATTCATCTGCACCGGTGGCCTATATGAATAAAGGAACAGTATGAAATAATAACAGACATTAAAACATTTAAAAGAAAGATCATCGCTAAAGTTTAGTAGGCTGTTATAGACCTATGACAGATGGGTAAGATCTGACTCTGTGTTAAACGTACTGAATTTTAAAAACATGTTATATCTGGCCTGTTGCATTTCCCTTACTTTACAGACAATTCCGAAGTCAAGCATGCTAATAGAGATTAGAAATTAGGAAAAACTAAATATAAAGTTTAATGTGTGTCAGTGAAAATATATGAGGGGAGGGACACGAGTAAGGTTTGGAGAGAGAAATTAGAGATTTCATATGTAGTCCAACTAAATAATTTATGGGACATTGTAACCCACAAAACACATATGACTAAAAATACCAAGCATTACAATATTTTGCTGATGGATTAAAAATAGAGCATGACACATGCAACCCTATCTGTCTAAGTGACGGGTAATGATTATTATCTGTGGGAAGGATAATAAAATAACACTAGATTTTGATATGTTCTGAAGAAACCATACAAACAAAACTTGATGCCACAATCTTAGGGTGTTATAAATGGTTGCCAGGTGTGAGTGGTTTGTAAGATGGAACAAGTCAAAAGTAATTTTGGTCTCTCAATATGGCCCATCCTTCCTTAAATTCAAGTATATTGATTTTTGTCTGGTTTAGCATTTACAAAACAAAAATCTGATTGCTTAAATTAATAACACACCTCTCTTCAACGAACTGCCCGATTTTCAGTGTTCATGTCAAAATCACAAAGAGTGTGCACTGAAGTTATTAATATGTAAGGTGTGGGGTTTGTTTAAATTCCTAATTCTGATTATGAGCAATATAGACAGGAGAGAAACTTGATGAATCAGGTTGGGAGAAGGGGGTAAAAAAAAAAAAAAAAAAAGAGTGATCTGACCTTCCTTTCAAAGATGGCAAAGGCTGCATCAGCAGCTTTTGAAGGTCTTTGGTCGTCTCCTCCAGACTTGAAAAGAGGTGAAGGAGATCGAACAGTTTCTTTCTGCCTGTTCTGGATTTTCGCCCATCGCTCCATGTCTTTCATTATCTGATGATCAGATCCAAAATTACAACACAGATCTAACACAATGCTTGTTTTTAATAAAAAACTTAATGTAATGCAAATTAAGTGATATTAAAACCTTAAAAGCTGCTAAACTTCTCGGCTTCTCCTCCTTTTCCTTCTCTTTCTTTTCTGCACGTGGGGCAGGCTCCTCTTCCACCTGCACCTCCGGCACAGTCTCTGGAACGGCCTTCACTTCCTCCTCTGTGATGGGGGTAGCTATAACCTCAGCAGTTGTTGCCACAGGGACAGCAACTTCAGGGGTCGGCTCCTGAACATCAGTAGAAGAGCTCTGGACTGGGATGTAGGTCTTTGAGGCACTGTCCCAGTACAGGTACTGCTGATTCTGAGCATCATAGAAATACTACACAAGCAAAAATAAACATTTAGTCATTGTATATTGTATTTCATTCATATTAAACATTCAGGAGAATCAAAAGGCAATTTTCTCTACACACCCTTGAGTTGGGATCATAGTACAGGGTAGTCTGAGGGTCATAGTAAAATCCTGATGTAGCATCGTAAAGGAAGGCTGACAAATCTGGAGCCTCAGATCCTGCAGTAACAAGAGTACGATTATCAGACCAGTTACTATGATGAAAGGTGTCTGCTTCCGGTGGCGCTGCACTGCTGGTGACACGGACACTTGTTGCTGCTGACATTCTTAACTCTTTTAACCATTTTAACTTGTTGCGCTTTTCTCTATTACGTTTTACTTTTTCTAGTTGCTTTTTTAATGCTGATATATTGGACTGGATATTATATATATTGGACTAATATGCAGTCTTTCAGAAATACTGTTTCTATTCTTGATGACTTACAGAAAGTGAATGATTTAAATGACTTATCTAAGATTTGAGAAGCGTGGGCATATTTCAGAATAGTATTGGTGTAATCTGTCTTTTTCAGATATTATTAAAGATAAGTTATTAAATTGATCCGAATCGGATTAACTTCTATTTTAAACATATTTGTTCAAAGAAATCGGCAGGCCCAGATGGAATTTCTCCCCATATTGTTAAGTGTTGTGCAGATGAACTGACTCCAGCTTGGCTTCCTATATTTCAACAATCTTTGGCTTCAGGTATTGTTCCCAGTTTGTGAGAACATTGAGAATAGTATTGGTGTAAGGGATTTTTCTCCAGATATCATCAAAGATAAGTTATTGATTCATCCGAAACAGATTAATTCCTATTTTAAACATATCTGTTCAAAGAAATCGGCAGGCCCGGATGGAATTTCTCCCTATATTGTTAAGTGTTGTGCAGATGAATTGACTCCAGCTTGGCTTCCTATATTTCAACAATCTTTGGATTCAGGTATTGTTCCCAGTTTGTGGAAAAGAACATTGATTATACCTGTTCCTAAGATAGCTAGGCCTTTAGAGAATAATGATTTTAGACTGGTTGCATTAACATCTGTGATTAGTTTTGAAAAGGGTGTTGTATCTATGTTAAAAGCAGAGGTCGCTAGTAATCTAGACCCCTTACAGTTCACCTATAGACAAGGGAGAAAAACTGAATATGCTATTAACTAGGGCTCTGAATGCATTTATGACTGTAAAGCATGTCTGTGTGTGTCAAAATCGTGATTAAAAGCGAATTCGCAAAATTGATCAAAGAAATCGCGATAGTTTTTTTTTGTCCATATCACACAGCCCTACTATTAACAGCATTATGCACTTGATTTTGAAGCATCTAGAAGATCCTAAAGCTTATGCTCGGTTACTGTTTATTGATTTCAGCTCTGTTTTAACACGACTCAACCTCATTTGTTAATCACCCATTCTTTTTTCATTTTTTTTTTTTTTTTTTACAAATTAATGCTTAAGTAGGCATTCACAAAATTACATTTTTAAATATTCAGATATTTAAATATACACAGCCATACTAAGTTTACTCTATGTGCATGACAATATTAGCACTATTTACCAGTCATAAGTCAGTTTGTTGACTGCTGTGATAAAAATTAGCTAATAATAAATACAATGAAAATGGAAGAGATTGTATTTGACGCAAAATGTATAGGTGACCATCGTCAAGTGGTTATACATGATCATCATATTATCCAGTCACAGACCTCTAAGTATTTGGGTGTTTACTTAGTTCACTTACATGGAAAAAACACATCGAATGGGTTTGCACTCGTCTACAACAGAGATTGTATTTCATACATAGGTTACATCTCTATGGAGAATCTTAAGAAACAAGAATCTTAAACAAGAATCTTATGTTGCTGTTTTAGAAAGCTGTTTTAGAAAGTATTGTTAGGTATGGTATCACAGTATGGTTTGGTAACCTGTCAGCACAGTTTAAATCTAAGTTGATGCACCTATTATTGACAGCATGGAGAATTGTTGGGCATGACAAACATTTTAACCTTCAAGATTTATATGAGGCATGCACTCTCAATCAGCTAGAGAGGATTCTTGGTGATCAGACTCATTTCTTGTATTTACAGTATGAACTGCTTTCCTCTGGTAGAAGATACCGGGTGTTAACCATATTTTCTACTGATTGAGAGAGGAAATACTGCAGCAACTGAATGCGTTGCTTCTCTGCCGCTCACTGCACAGAACAGATGCCGAGAGAGGTGACTCTTCTCCGGGAAAGTCAGACCTCGCGTTCGTGGGACAGCACTGGCGAAATCTTCCAACTGAACCATAGCTAAGGTTTATCCAAAAAAGTCGCTAGGTTTGTCAGTATGAATATTCTATGGAAAAAAAGTCGCTAAAAGGGTATGAAAGTTGCTAAATCTAGTGCTAAAGTCACGCTTGTGTGTTTGTGAGACGCGGGATCTGATGGCAGGGGGTGGTGGATATTTGTGGCGGTCAATGTGGATATTGTGGATGAGTTCTTCTGTGTCATCACATTCTATTAGTTCTAGAGCTTCAGTTTCGAAACTTCCACGCTTAGTAACACATACAGCTGTTCCCTCACCACAGTGCAATAGTGAAAAGGGACCCCTTTCAAACAGTGTCGCGTTCCGAACGTTGTTTAAGCGACATACACCGGTATTGCGGTATTTTAAAAATTCATATCATAACAAAAATAAACACCGGTATTCAGTATGAACCGGTATACCGCCCAGCACTACTGTCAATATAAATAAATATAACAAAAAGAATACCCTTTAAACTTTAACTGAACAGTGGCGTACCGTAGCTGTAGCCGTCAATGGACTCCGCAGCTCCTGGAAGATCAGTGTCAGATAAAGCTGCAGTCTGGTGCTCAGTTGTCTGGACTGACTGCGCCATTGCCGTTGTCTCAGAATATATCACACCCTGCACACAGCCAGACAGTCAATTACAGTCCAAAAACCAATGTCTCTCCTGGCTACAACTGGCCACGTTGTAAAAAATGTGCCTTTGTGCTAGTATAAAAAGACAATCACCTGTGTTAAGCTTGAAGTCGGCATTACAGCTGATGACAAGGTGGCATCTGCTCCCATTGGGTCATCTGCACGAAGTCCCACAGAACACAAAAAAGAATGTATTATGCTACAATCAATTTCAATACCATAATCAAATAAATTAAAACCAAATACCTTGCATGGAAGGTGCAACACCCATAGTTGTATGAGAAGGCTGAGGATAAAATTGTTGCTGTGGCTGCTGATACTGATGTTGTTGTTGCTAGAAAAAAAAATTATATATGAAAAGTTTAATACAAGATATGGACTGTTCACACAAAACATGCTCTTGCGTTCAACTGGGATATTTTTTAAACACTGTTCCACGTAAATATATGCTAGATGGAAGTGAATTTTAACCATCTTGATATTTTTGTTGTTGTTGTTGTTTTTCTGCATCTCACGCAATGAGCACTACATTTTTAAAATGCGGTTTCAAGATAAAGGAAGCTCACCCTTATAAAATGTACCTTAAAAACATTGTCTAGCTGTCTGAAAGTTTTAGTAACAATGTATGTCATGCATTGAAATGACCTACCATCATAACATCTGGAGGGAAACCCAAGAGAGAAGTGTTTGACTTATCATTTTCCCTCCTATAGCTGCAGTGAAAACAAGAATTACCTTTAAAGCTCAAATAACAACCACAGTTGAAATTTCTTCTTAGGACTTATGAAATGTTTCCTCTAAGAACTGAAACTAGAATATACATGTAATATTCTTTTATTACTTACATGATATATCCCAACAAAATGAGACTTACTTTTGGTTTTTCAAAGGTTTGGCAACTTCAGCATAAACTCTAACCCCATCAATCATGATAGGGCGGGGTTTGGTGAGCAGCTCCACCAATCGCGTCACATGCTGTATATAAAAGTGAGTAGTATCATTATGAATGCATCAAGGAACACAGTGGACCATTTTGAGACATTATATTGTAGTTAGAATGAGAAATCTGTACAATACCTCATGTGAATCCATATCGACAAAGCAGAAGCATTTGGATCCAGGTGACTTCCCTTTGACCAGACGTACATTGCGCTCATCCAGGTACGCAAATGTATCGAGTGCTTGCAGAATGGTCTCCACGGTGGTGGTAGGCAAAATGTTCTTGATAATCATTGCTAAAAATAAGACATGAAACTTAAGAACAATCTGCCACCTACTTTTGTTCATTTGTTTTCTTTCAGAATATGTATTCACAGTTGACATCACTTACTCTTGCTCTCTTTGAAGACCGGATCGGAGTGCTGCAAGTTTTGGCGAGATGCTCTCTGATTGGTCCATTCTTCCGATTGTTGCTCTACCTCCTGCTGTTGTAGCTGTTGGTCCACTTGCTGTTGCCATGCTTCAGGAGTCAAGTTGGAGTTTCTTTGCCACACACCTTGAGAGGCAGGATCCTGCACAGGCTTGGCATCGGTTTCCTCCTTTATATTCAGTGGCAGGACTGGATTTGGTAACAAATTGTCATCGCTGGCTGGAGCGGCTTTAGCTGGTGGTTCATGATGCTGCAATCCAAATTACATTTAAGTATGTCAATCACACTAACAGAGACAGATACATGTCAAGCTCTACCAAAGAGGAATCTCACCTGTTCTTTCATATTTTTGTCAGGCTGGATATATTTGAGCAGAGCAGTCTTGTCACCAACCTTAACAGATCCCTAGAAAACAAGACAACAGTCTCTCAGTGCTAAGTGACTGACAACTTTCCAAAAAGCCAACCCAACCTAACAACAAAAAAGAAAAGGTATTTCCCATTTGCCCGTCTGAGGGCATAAACACAGGCAGGTTTGATCTGGGCTTTACTTATGCCCAGGTTTGGATTACATTTGCGTTTTTTTTTTTCATCTGCCTTTTTAATACACACATTACTGTGTGAAAATGGGAGTAAAATCTTTTAAGTGTAGTAAATCTTGCAGTGGTTATATGGCTGCAATTTATGTACTACCGCCTTAATTTGAATGCTAACCTGAAAATATAACTGAAAAATATAACTAGTAATGTCAAAGTACATAGTAGAAGCATATTCATCGCACAAGTAACTGCACATTCATCCGTAACAGGATGAATAAAGGCAATAAAGTCTGGCTTCTTTCAAGTGAGAAGACTATGCAGCCTTGGAAAATTTCACAATTCACTTTCAAAATGGGGTGGACAGTCAAAACAGCAGTGACATTAGGGCTGGGCGATATAGCTAAAAAATTTATCAACGATATAATGTTTCATATCGTTCGGTATTGATAATTATTGATATTTTTTATAACCTTTTTTTAAACAGAGCAATATAATTTTTTTTTTAATTTAACCACTGTATTTTTAAATTAACCCAATTTATTGAGACAAACAACAAATATTTTTTGTTTTAACAATCACACACAAAATAAAAATTAAACAAATATCTAATTTCTAATGTTTTATATGCAAATTTAAATAAGTCTTAAGGAAACTTTTGACATCCTGAGGCCACAGGAGGGCGCAATGAGCAAAATAATGCCGCACATTTAAATTGTCAACGCAAGGAAATATCTGTCTATAAAAAAACGTGCATTACGTCTAAATTAACTCATAAAAATCAAATATAATTTCGTAAATTGCATAAACAATTATGAACAAAACAGCATCATGTATTTATGCATTGCTTAATCCAAAGAGCCGAAGTGCCATTCACACAGATTGCATTTAAAAACATGAGACGCAGCGAAAAGGAATAAACCTCCACAAATTCATGACGCATTTTCGAAAAGTTTAAACTGTTTTAACTTTGCATGGCTTTCTATACATCTCTTGTGTGAGACGCGAGTGCAGCAGTCATTTGTCCGTCTAAAAATGTGCTGAATATGCGTTCTGTGTGAATGGCTTGGTTTCGGTTTTAACCTAATCAAGATCTTCTCCGCATTGAGCTACAATATATCTCTAATATTCTGAATAATTAACGCAGCAACGTCTTGTGGGCTAGACTAACAAAACATTAAAATGAAACAACGTCACTTACATCATCATCACCACATCTCGCACGCCACTGATGACGCTCCCTGACGCACTCCTAACATTCAAATGCAAATGTTTATTTTAAATTCGACTAATATTCATTCTTTATTCACAATCTCCTCATCACAGGCAGGCACAGCACTCAATTCAGCATGTGCTCGTGTTTGTGTGTGCTGTCTGCAACACTCATAGCACGTGCCTATATCGAACATTTTTTCTATCGTTATCGAAGAAGGTGTACCGTCGATAAATATCGATACAGTTTTATCGCCCAGGCCTAAGTGACATTCTTTCTATGCTAGGACATTAAGCTTTTCTCATTTTACTTCACATATATTTATGTTGTTTATAAAAAGGGTTTCAAAAGACAGACCATATATTGACTGGCCCACTGTGAAAAATCCAGTTCATGCCCGATCAAAGAAAAGTACTGCTTATGGACAACTGTGGTAAAAGAGCTTCAGCTTTTAGGTTGAAAGGACATTCTAGGTAAATGGCCTAACAGTGTAATGTGATCAGAATTTTATGACTTCTTACTAGGGCTGCACGATAAATCGAAATGAAATCGCGATTAGGCAGAAGCTGCGATTGTCATGCGCATCTTGTCAGTGAAGCACGGTTTTGTGATCAGCAGTAAATCTCCATCCGAAGGCCAGAGAAACTCCAAATACACCCCACAGAAGAAATCCAGGAAATGCCTATAATGGTAGCTGAATAAACAGAAGATTTAACTGCTTTCATTGATTCAACGTGACTAATAAACACAAGACTACGACAATATATGGTTTATCTGAGTTCTTCTTATTATAATAAAGTATATTTATAATGCATAGCCTTTATCACTGCTTAGAATACTATGAAATATGTTATTGCCTTATTCTGTGTAAGAAGCCACATCATCTCAGAAGGATTTATTTCAACACTCGACTGACGTTATGAAGTGAGTTTGGAGTAAAAACATGTTATTAAATGTGGTATTTTCACATGCTTTCAGATAGAGAAGCATTTACTACACAGAGCCATGGTTCACTGAGAAGCTACGCCAACAGCTGTCATTATCGCGAACAATTTCTTCGATTTCATAATCGCGCAATAATATCGTGTGTAGTAAATGCTGCTCCATCTGAAAGCATGTGATGGAGATTTACTGCTGATTACAGAACCGGCTTTACTGACAAGATGCACATGACTACCGGATTCGATTAATCGTGCAGCCATACTTCTTACCCACCGTCACTGCCGCAGTTACTTGTAGAAATTTGTTTTTAAGTGTCTCACCAAGTACACAAAACAAGGTAAGTTATCCTGCTAGTTGGCGAGCAGGGAACTGTGGTTTCGGATGAAGGAAGAACCCTGAGCAAGATTCTTTTCTGAAAGGTACTTTGTTAGACATTTAACAAAAACGAGGGAGAAATATATGCTGTTACAACCAATACAACCCACAGGGTATTCAAGTTTCAGCACAACAGCCAATGGCTCAACACAAATCCAAGCAAACCTCTAGTTGCCTTACTCGCCTTACATTTATAGTGCAAGTTTCATTAGAAATGTCAAAATACTATTAGTACAAACAAGCTCTGATTTTCCAAGTCTGGATTTTTCCAAATAAACATCAGCATGGATCTCTCAGACATCCAGATACACAACAATCACGAAGTCGGTCAAGATGAAGTAAGCAGGAATGGAAAGAACGAGTTTGTTGTGCTGGAAGAGATAAGACACCCAAACTCAAGATAATTAAATCACAATCCACGGAAAGAAGAATAAAAAAACTTCACAGACTGCAAGCAGAACCAAAGAGCACAGTTCTGGAACTGTAATTCCATAAGGTCAAAGGATAAGGAATAAGTGTTGACACAGCACGAGGATGATACTGTGCTGTAGGCATAACAGCATAAAGCTTTACTTACAACCGTTTAACAACCTGTTCATCGGAAATTCAAATAGGGGAAAACAGCAACTACCTCTTTCCTTCCAAGTCAGCAAAATATGAATATCAACAAAAGGAAGCTACATATAGCATTTCAGTCACCACAGAAATTATGAAAATCCAATGCTGAATCACTTTAAAGTAAGACAATAAAGGAGGCCAAAGAAGAATGCTTAGTTTTGCTTCAGTACCTCTTCAGAATATGCCAGTGGGAGCAAGTAAAAAGTGACCGTAAGAGCATAACCTCCAGATGGTCAAATGAGGGAAATAAAAGATTATACTGTTGAAAACAAAGAATTAAATATCAATGGTCTGGAGTACTACCACCTAAGAGTTGAAGAAACAGGTTGCACAACTTGTTGCATAGATGCAAATCCAATTCCAAATTCAGTATGCCATGTATCTATTCATAAAACTATCCATTCTGTATAAGAAGTCGAAAAAAGTGAAATGTAAAGGTTCACTCAAGTTCAATCACTCAGCTAACACACCTATGACAGTCATCAAAGAATAGTGCACCCCTTGTCACTACGCTCACTTGTTATGCCTGAAAGCTAATGTTGCAAACTAAGTGGCGTGTTTTAATTGGTCATGATTAATATAAGTGGGAAAAATGTTCCCTTGAAAGTCTCATGTCCTATCTACCCCATTCCCACCCAGAGCCCAGCCACCTCCCCCTCCCCAGGCCCAAGCCTTCTTCCTGTTAGCAGACAGAGCCGTTGTAGACGAGGATGGGCCACCTGGTTGGACTCCATGAAGTGGACAGCATCCTCGAGGTTTAAAAACTCCACATAGGCCGTATCGTAGCTGTAACCTGGGAACAGCATTTGAAATACAGATGGGTTTGTGTTAGTTATTGCAGGTAAATAGGAGAATTTTCAAGAGAAAAAAAGCAGTGTTTCGTTTCACGAGACATATCACAAAGTGAATTCATACAGGATGTCTTTTGCTTGTCGGGCACATTTTATTTCATTATTTAATTGTTTGAAGTCAGTTGTGAAGAATCAGAGTAACTGATTCTAAAGCCAAGATATACATCTATAAAAATTAAGAAATAAAAATAATAACAGTAGAGAGAGAACAAAAATGTAACAGAGAGCTTGAAATAACACTACAGCAACTGAGTTTCTAGTAAATTATAAGTCTAATCACATCTAACATCTAAAACACATCATAGAAGACCCACATTTATTTTCCAACAAACTTGCAACAGTCTGAACAATTAAAAAAAAAGAACAATAAAACAAAAAAGTTATTAATTGGATTAATTTGATTAAGCGGAACAATAAAACAACTAAAACTGAAAAAGTTGCTCTCTTCACTGCAAATTTATAGATGCTTTTAAGAATTAAATAATATTGTAATTAAATACAATTAAATACAATTTAAAATTTTATATTTTCTATGACTTGAGTCATTGGCAAATAATTATTTTATTAAAGGGGTCATATGATGCTGCTAAAAAGAACATTACTTTGTGTATTTGGTGAAATGTAATGTGTTTATGTGGTTTAAGGTTCAAAAAACACATTATTTTCCACATACTGTACATTATTGTTTCTCCTCTATGCCCCGCCTTTCTGAAACACACAAAGCTCATCGGTCTGAAAAGCGAGGTGTGCTCTGATTGGCCAGCTATCCAGTGCGTTGTGATTGGACGAATTCCTCAAGCGTGTGACGGAAATGTTACGCCCCTCACCATACTGTGATGCTTGCAAAGACTAAAGTCTCAAATCCAAAGAGATATTCTTTATAAAAGTTAAGAGTCAGCCACACCTACCTAAAACGGCTCGTTCTAACACGCCCCCACATACCTACGTCACTATTTGGGCGGCGTTATGCAACTCTTCCCAGATAGTGACGTAGGTATGTGGGGTGTGTTAGAACGAGCCGTTTTAGGTAGGCGTGGTTGACTCTTAACTTTTATAAAGACTATCTCTTTGGATTTGAGACTTTAGTCTTTGCAACTTTACAGATCTTCTTTATGCACCAAGAGCTTGTAACACTCCAAAGAGAAAGGAAAAATTGAAATCGCATCATATGACCCCTTTAATTTAAAAACATTTTTAAAAACCTTTCCTGATATTTTCATGTTTTTCCAGGGAACACCGAACAGCATATTAGCTTATTTGATACTGTCCTTTGTGAAGAAAATAAACAATTTTGGCATATAAAAAAGAAAAAAATGCTGAAACCTTTATCAGATGAACCCAGAGAGGAATATTTTGCAGCAACACTTCACATCATCACAAAGTAGTGGCAGTTGGTATTTGTGTTTCGACAGTTAATGGCTTATTTATAAAGGGAACCGCGTTTAAGAAATTCCAAAATTCCCTCTAAACACATGCCACCTTAAAGATGGAAGCTGCTCAGAGAAAATTCAACCTCCCGCACAAGAACATGGGGAAAGGGGACAACAAGAGATCCTGTAGCATGTTTGCAAAAGCAACTCAGATGCAGCAAGTACAATCGATGTAAAAGAGACAGTGAGCGCAAGATTCGGAGAGCGAATAGCGAAATGTGGTTGCGAATCGGTCATCATTGTTTACAGCGAACAAAATCTCACCTGGCACAACATCCTTTATTTTCATGCCCTGCATTGGCACACCATCACGGACTGCGAAAGCATCCAGAATCTATGAAAGAAAGAACTAACTGAAGTCAAACTTACTTTGGCAATCATTCAGGTAACTGATGATGTTGTTTTTAGAACACCAAGAAAGAACCATTTTTCTATAAGTATGAAAATAATCAAAGTCTGAATAATTACATCTCATTTACCTGTTGCATTGTGGCAGTTTTAGGAATTCCAGAGATGGCAATGGTTTTTGAGACTTGATCCTGGACACTTGCACTCCTGTAATCCTGGTCCTTTATTTCAAAATTCACAGTAGAGTTTAAATATTCAGATAATTCACAAGACAATCTGCACTAGCGCGTTTAAATGTACATTACGTTTTATGTACAAGTCCATAAGCAATTATATGAGCTGTGAAAAGAAATGTTATATTAACTTTTAGATGGATTACCATCCCACCTGAAAAAAGTTTTTTTTTTTTTGTTCACACTGAGGATAAAGAAAAAATCAAGCTGATAAAAAAGCAAAAGAAAAAAAAATCAACTTATTCTATTTACATAATACATTTATATAATCAGAATGATTTTGTAGTTGGAAAAGAAACTTTCGCGCTTTCCATCAAACAAAATCAAAAGACAAAATCTAACCTGAGAACCAGAGTCATCTGGTCGTTGAGTTGGACCAAGTTTGGATTCCTTCACGTCTTTCTCAGGTCCTTGAAGATCCCCAAGATTGTAGTCGTATTTGTGCCCTGAGCTGGTGCGATAATCAATGTCTCTATAATCCTGATCCTGTCGCTCACCTCTGTTACTCTGGGGTTCCTTTGGCCCAGACACCAAGCTCTCTCTCTGTGGTCCCTGATCTAAAGCCATGTCACTGGAACCCTTAAAGGGCACTCGATCACTTGCGAAATGATGCTCTTGATTTGGCTGGTTCTTGTCTTGGAAATATGGTGGTCTACTTCCTGCAGGTGCAGTTCTTTCAGGCTTTTCATCTTTGTCACCAGGCCAGGGTTTATCTCCATCTCTACTTTGGGCATTTAGAGGAGGATCCAGTGGAAGAAGAGGGGGCTTCTGAGTTGGATCTCTGCCTGGAAAATCACTAGGAATATTTTTCTCCCAGTTTTGGTGTTTGGAGTCTCTTTCTGATCGATTAAAGCCTGTGCCGTCTTTTTCCAGAAACCCGTCTCGGTCTCTGTCTTTGAACTGGGGACGTTCTCCAAAGTCTACATCTTTTCCACGGTTAGAGAAGAACTTGTCTTGCAGCTCTCTCTGGAAAAGTGGTGGCGTTCTGCCCATCATCGGTGGAAGAGATTCTCGGTCTCTCATGCCATGTTTGCGCCACTCGTCTGAGAGCGTTTCACTTTCTCTCCCTCTGAAGCCCATTGGACTGTCCATCGGGTCTGGGAATTCTCTGTCTCTGAGGGTCATCTCGTCGGGTCTGATCATGGGTTCTGGGCCACCACGACCTAAAGGCATATCAGGTCTTGCTCTGATATCCATAGGGACGCCTTCATTGTCTCGAAACATCTGAGCAGGCTGGTCTCTAAAATCATTGGAGGACCCCATGCGGTTTCTCAGATCCATATCAGATTCAAACCTTCCTCTTGGATTAAGTGGAGGGGTGACACCTCGTCTGTCAAAATCCATCACTGGTCTGTCTCTGGGAGGCATGTCCATGTTGAACCCATCAATGCCTCCCATCCGTGGCCTCTCCCTGTCTCTCATATCCCCAAGATCTCCATTTCCACCCATTGCCACCATGGCAAGTCTCCTTCTGATGTCCATGGGAGGAAGCCCAGGCATATCCATCTGGAATCTCTCCCTCTCCCTCATATTCATGAATCCATCATCTGGACCTCTCATATTACCACTCTGCATATCTCTGCCACCCATATCCATTGATGGCCTAGACTGACCCATAAAACATGGAGAATTCTGAAGGTTGTTTCTCTGATCCATTTCAAAGCGCCTTTGAAAATTCATGTCCATTTCATCTCCAGGTCTGAAAAAATCTCGGGGAGGCTCTCTTCCTCTGTCATGAAGACCCATGTCTCGTCCTCTCATATCAGGTGGGCAGTCGAACCGCCTCATATCCATGGGTGACCTGTCCATATTCATGCCATCCTGACCTCTGAAGTCAGGTCTTGGGCCATCTCTGCCTTCAAACATGCCTCCACGAGGTTCCCCACTGCAATGAAATCAGAAGCATTACTGCAAATGAGCAATCTATTTACTTTTGAAAAACATACAAGCTGTGTCCCAATTCAGAGGCTGCATCCTTCGAAGACTACATTCCAAGAATGTGTCACAGCAGCGTGACAAAGTTGGTTACTCTTTCAAATGCAGCCTCGAAATGTGGGTCACAAAAGATAAAACGAATGCATCCTTCGCGGCCCAGACTATCCAAAGGTTCATTGCAAGTTTTAAAATAAAACCTAATAAAGTGCTTCTGCAAGACATTTTGCTTGAAAAATGTGCTTGAGATATATTTCTTGAAAATAAAAGTCACTTGGTTTGATATTTTGTCTACTAGTATATCCACACAGATTACTGTGGTTTTAAAATGTTTAAATATGTTTTGGGACCAGTACACATAAAATATATTACATCAATTTCTGGACCTCTCATATTACCACTCTGCATATCTCTGCCACCCATATCCATTGATGGCCTAGACTGACCCATAAAACATGGAGAATTCTGAAGGTTGTTTCTCTGATCCATTTCAAAGCGCCTTTGAAAATTCATGTCCATTTCATCTCCAGGTCTGAAAAAATCTCGGGGAGGCTCTCTTCCTCTGTCATGAAGACCCATGTCTCGTCCTCTCATATCAGGTGGGCAGTCGAACCGCCTCATATCCATGGGTGACCTGTCCATATTCATGCCATCCTGACCTCTGAAGTCAGGTCTTGGGCCATCTCTGCCTTCAAACATGCCTCCACGAGGTTCCCCACTGCAATGAAATCAGAAGCATTACTGCAAATGAGCAATCTATTTACTTTTGAAAAACATACAAGCTGTGTCCCAATTCAGAGGCTGCATCCTTCGAAGACTACATTCCAAGAATGTGTCACAGCAGCGTGACAAAGTTGGTTACTCTTTCAAATGCAGCCTCGAAATGTGGGTCACAAAAGATAAAACGAATGCATCCTTCGCGGCCCAGACTATCCAAAGGTTCATTGCAAGTTTTAAAATAAAACCTAATAAAGTGCTTCTGCAAGACATTTTGCTTGAAAAATGTGCTTGAGATATATTTCTTGAAAATAAAAGTCACTTGGTTTGATATTTTGTCTACTAGTATATCCACTATATCCACACAGATTACTGTGGTTTTAAAATGTTTAAATATGTTTTGGGACCAGTATACATAAAATATATTACATCAATTATAATTGTGTATACATTTTACACTTCTTTGTAAATGTATTCTTATTACATCCTGGAACACACAAGAATCTGCTAAATTGTTTATTTTTTTATGTGAAATGCACACTGACAGGCAGGATGACAGGTACGATTAATTTGAGCTATATGATCTATTTTTGACGAAGTTCTGACAGAAACGTTAGGTTGCATGTCCCACAGTATGACAGCACTCTAAATAAGAGACCCTTAGGAACACAGTACAATGATGACATATTCTATGTGTCTGATGAAGAATGTAGTCTTAGAAATGTACTTTAAGACCTCTTACCGAAAGGGCATTCCTCCTCGTGGTCCAGGTCTTGAACCGTTCCACATCGTTCCCTCCTCTCCTTAAAAACTCTCCCTTAGCACGAGTTTCGAGTGCAGAACGTCGTTCCACTTGAGAAATAAATAAATACCTTATCATTAAAGATCAATTAATTTATCTGTTCTAATGTAACGTCGCTAAACTTTTTTAAAGCCTTATTCGAAAAAAATATTTCGAAGCCATTACACATATCATTAACCATTACAGGTTATAGAGGTACGTTAACTTAAACGCAATCAAATGAACTGCTATTTCATATTTGCATAACGACACGATGAGGGCTAATGAAATCGTTTAATATAATGTCACAACATTGGAACTAACAGTTTCAGACTGAAAAGCAAGTAAGTTACGTTGTTAAAGCATCATGCTAACACAATACGTTTGCGTTTGGCTAGTCAGTATATAAATGTGATGAAATCAAACTACATGTCAAATACACCGTTGTGTTAAAGTGATACACATGATAATCATTTCCAACTACTTTTTTGAGTACTCAGATATTTATTAACAAGAAGGCAAGGTATTGCTTTATTCATCTCATAAACCTGCCCTCATAAAAGAAGGCTAACGTGCTAACTTTAGCTTTTACTTTAAGACCTCTTACCGAAAGGGCATTCCTCCTCGTGGTCCAGGTCTTGAACCGTTCCACATCGTTCCCTCCTCTCCTTAAAAACTCTCCCTTAGCACGAGTTTCGAGTGCAGAACGTCGTTCCACTTGAGAAATAAATAAATACCTTATCATTAAAGATCAATTAATTTATCTGTTCTAATGTAACGTCGCTAAACTTTTTTAAAGCCTTATTCGAAAAAAATATTTCGAAGCCATTACACATATCATTAACCATTATTATTTATAGAGGTACGTTAACTTAAACGCAATCAAATGAACTGCTATTTCATATTTGCATAACGACACGATGAGGGCTAATGAAATCGTTTAATATAATGTCACAACATTGGAACTAACAGTTTCAGACTGAAAAGCAAGTAAGTTACGTTGTTAAAGCATCATGCTAACACAATACGTTTGCGTTTGGCTAGAGTCAGTATATAAATGTGATGAAATCAAACTACATGTCAAATACACCGTTGTGTGAAAGTGATACACATGATAATCATTTCCAACTACTTTTTTGAGTACTCAGATATTTATTAACAAGAAGGCAAGGTATTGCTTTATTCATCTCATAAACCTGCCCTCATAAAAGAAGGCTAACGTGCTAACTTTAGCTTTCAATCAAGACATTTTCCCAATATCAATGGACGAAGTAAACAACGTTTTTTTGTTAATCTTGATTTTACAAAACGCTACAAATAACAGTGGCATATTCCTCCAATTTAATGTCTGTAAAGCCGTTTTAAGACGTCTCACCTAGCTTGTAGAGATCTGTTCGCAGGTTCTTTTCTGGGTTTCACCGTTGTGTGAAAGTGATACACATGATAATCATTTCCAACTACTTTTTTGAGTACTCAGATATTTATTAACAAGAAGGCAAGGTATTGCTTTATTCATCTCATAAACCTGCCCTCATAAAAGAAGGCTAACGTGCTAACTTTAGCTTTCAATCAAGACATTTTCCCAATATCAATGGACGAAGTAAACAACGTTTTTTTGTTAATCTTGATTTTACAAAACGCTACAAATAACAGAGGCATATTCCTCCAATTTAATGTCTGTAAAGCCGTTTTAAGACGTCTCACCTAGATTGTAGAGATCTGTTCGCAGGTTCTTTTCTGGGTTTCCCGACAAGAAGAGTCGGAAAAGTATACTCCGTTTCCGGTGAATGAGGGCTTATGGGAGTTGAAGTTGTACAATTCAGTAATAATTTATCTGTTCTAATGTAACGTCGCTAAACTTTTTTAAAGCCTTATTCGAAAAAAATATTTCGAAGCCATTACACATATCATTAACCATTACAGGTTATAGAGGTACGTTAACTTAAACGCAATCAAATGAACTGCTATTTCATATTTGCATAACGACACGATGAGGGCTAATGAAATCGTTTAATATAATGTCACAACATTGGAACTAACAGTTTCAGACTGAAAAGCAAGTAAGTTACGTTGTTAAAGCATCATGCTAACACAATACGTTTGCGTTTGGCTAGTCAGTATATAAATGTGATGAAATCAAACTACATGTCAAATACACCGTTGTGTGAAAGTGATACACATGATAATCATTTCCAACTACTTTTTTGAGTACTCAGATATTTATTAACAAGAAGGCAAGGTATTGCTTTATTCATCTCATAAACCTGCCCTCATAAAAGAAGGCTAACGTGCTAACTTTAGCTTTCAATCAAGACATTTTCCCAATATCAATGGACGAAGTAAACAACGTTTTTTTGTTAATCTTGATTTTACAAAACGCTACAAATAACAGAGGCATATTCCTCCAATTTAATGTCTGTAAAGCCGTTTTAAGACGTCTCACCTAGATTGTAGAGATCTGTTCGCAGGTTCTTTTCTGGGTTTCCCGACAAGAAGAGTCGGAAAAGTACATACTCCGTTTCCGGTGAACGAGGGCTTATGGGAGTTGAAGTTTTACAATTCAGTAAACAAAAATTAGTTAAGTTACCATATTAAAGACTAAATGTAATTAAAATCTCTGCCAAAAATATTATAAATGTATTATAAATAAAAGTATTACATGTAATATGGATTTTTACTGCAGCCATAATGCGTTAAGCCAATACACAGTCACTGTAAACAATATAGCAATTGCAGTTCTTCAGGGGGCATATAGATAAGGACTTGTTTAAATGTTAAAATGTTGTTTAAATTTAGTACTAGACCAGAAATAAGAAACACCATGGAAACATACACTGTCCAAAAAACATTTATTCTGCATATCGAGTAACAAAATACAGAAGCCACAAACAGTGACAAACACATTAGGCTGAGCTGATACATGAAAATGATGAATCACACATTTTACTCTGAATTTGCACAATCACTTGTTTTTTCTGCTCTGTCTTCTATGAAAACTTTTCTCAGAAAATATATTTCAGTGTTTACAGAGCCTGCCGTCAGTGCATAAAGAGGAAAACACAGGCTAAAACAGGAAAAAATTATGGTTTTCAGTTGAGGTCAAACTAATGCACACAGAGGTCAAAATGCACGTCTGTATAGTTCCTTTTACATTACTGAGATAATACTACCAGATAAAACTCAGTGAAGCTATATACAATGGGGAGTATATTTAGCAAATGCTTAAAAATAAACATGTGACCATGCCAAAGACAATCAATTCAAACAAACAATAAACAACAAATAACTATGCCATAATGGACATGAGCTACAGCAGGATTTGCAGTTCAAGGACATTTTGATTCCTCTCTCTCCACATGGACAGTAAAAATAAGGTCTAGGTTTTAGGCAGAATACAATAACTGAACATTATATACAGCTATAAGATCGAATACGCAAACAACCATCGAGAGCAAATTGCTTGGCTACCTGTATGAAATATGGCAGGAACATCTTATCACCTGTATAGCAGTTTCACAGTATTACAGCAATATTCATATTGCTTTGTTTGTACTGCACATCAACAGAACATTTGGAAACCCTTAGGCCTCAACGTATCAGACTTAATGAAAACAGATGTATTCTATATAAAATGCAGTGCTCATTAGAATGAGGATATAAGGACAGATTGAATAAAAAGAGCTACATAATTTCTTGTAAGATTGTACAGCAAAAGAAAAAGAAACATGATTCAGCAGTACAAAAACATTGAGTAATATTATATTGATATGATGATAGTATTGACAAAAACATAATGACTTGTACATCAATGAAGTACAGCAGCCGTTTTAGTTGCTGGTTAGCCAATATTATGACACAAAATATTAATATGAATTGTAATTCAGCAGCTGGGCTCTTCTGGATACATGAAATTCTACATTAAAGTCCAACCATTCTTTTTATGCAGACATATAATATTCTGATGTGTTAATTGTCCTTTTGTTTGTTTGTTTGTGTTTGTTAATTATCTTATTTAATGGCTTTAAGATTCATATTTTGAGGTTGTATTGTTTTTTAAATGCAATGTGGAAAAAAAAAGAAAATATCAGTTTGCCACTTGCAATTTTTAGGTATGCAATAAATACAACTGAAAATATTTGAACCACATAAACTTTTAATGAAATGTTTTAAAGTAAATCTAAGAACTAAATTAATAAGCTTCATCCGGGTAATGGATCTTATTTAGTATAATACCCTTAAAAAGATGGTAGCAAAGGTTTGATGAGGATTTTTTAAATTGGTTTGAATTAACCATGGAAATTAAATGACGGAGTATTACTTCAGAATAACAAATAATATTTCTTTGATAAAGCTATTTAAGAAAATACAGATAAAACTACTATGGGACTGGGATTTACTTTTTAAAGTCTTCCTAGATTACAGCATTTTGCACAAATGAAATGGTGATCAAGCTTTTAAACACAATTGAACTTTGCTCCACCATTAGATTTCTATATGAATTTATATGTAGTGTGTAGGTGCTGCTCTATTTGCCACTATATTTGCCCGAATGTCATCCGCCATTCTATTCCTCCCTAGTCTCCTCACTACGCTGCTGGGATGTCAGTATCTCTCCATTACACCGTGTTGGAGCCGAGGCCTCCTGCGTCTGGGCCTCAGGGTGATCCAGGGTGGTGCGGGGAGGCATTGGTGTGGCAGCCAGGGGAACAGGGGTGGTGCTGGGGGTAACAGGTCCTCCAGAGGCTCCCATTGCAGGACTAGAGGCTCCAGAGTCACTCTGATCTGGAGCCCTGAGTCTCTTCATCATGGTGGTCACACGAACAGCTTTCTGGATAACAAATAATAATAATATTTTAATGTAATACGTTTAACTAAAAATAATACATATATTTTTTAATTATTCAAAAAATGTTTGGTTTTTTTAAATGATGAATTTAAATGATTAATAAATGAATACATTTTAGTCCACAACTTATTGAAATTTGGCACAAATGAGGTTACAGTAGAAAGATTTTGTAATGTTTAAAAAAATGGCTTGAGGCTCCACTCAAGCCGATTTAATATTTAGATTTATATTAATCATTATTTTAAAAATATTTTACACATTTTTTATAGTAATTTTTTTTTTTTTAATGTAATTCAGGAATGAAGAAAGGGGTGTGTTTTTAATTCATTATCCGTATTATTTCTATATTATTATTATTGTATAACTAGTTTTACATCATTGACACTAATATATTATAATTATATCAGTATATTTATATTAATAAAAAGTAAAGTACAGATACTCAAAAAGTGTACTTAAGTACAATACTCAAGTAAATGTACTTAGTTACTGTCCGCCTCTGGCCCCAAGTCACCTTTAGGTTTCTGTGAACGATGTGAAAAGAGTGCAGGTAAGCCACAGCCTCAAGCACCTGCCGGATCACATTGCTGGTGTCACGTTCTGAGTAGTAGCCCTGGTCTAAGATCCAGTCGAACACCTCCCTTCCTGTGGCCCTGAAGTAAAAAACATGAAAGACAGTCAAGCCAAATATTCATGTGAGAGTCAAAATTGTCCTTGTAATATAATGACTGTACAAAAATCTTTTTAGTTTATAGAAAGAAATGATCAAGAAGCACATGCAAATGCATCTTTACGTAAAAAAAAATTCAAATCATTTGCAGCTTGAAAACCCCAGTAGCCACTGAATTTTTTAATGTACTTTTTTTATTTGCCTAATCTGTTGACTGGACTTCTCCAATATTAACAGGATAAAGATACAGAAGAATAAAAAAATATTGTCTCCACTACAACCCAATCTCAATAAATAAATAATCCACTTTATTACAGGCAAAATAGTATATTCTATATTCCACATCCCTATCCATCTTGAAGAAAAAAAGAAACAACTAAGGGTGTGTAAATAATAACAGGATTTTTATTTTGATTCAATTTTAAATCTTAACACAATAAATGCAAAAAGTATCCATTCACAGTCTTGTACTTTCTTATTCACTCTCACATACGAAAATCTCAAAGCACTTACAGCTCCAGAAAGAGGAAGTACTCTTTTCTCGTCTCAAAGACATCTACCAGCTGGAGGATGTTATGATGCTTCACCCTGCGGGGAGAGACAGAGAGAAAGCAAGAGAGAAACTGTGACACTGTGAAAGGAAGCAGAGTAGAAAGTGAAAAGAAATCATGACTATTTGCAAAAATAAAATCATTTGCATGGTAAAGAGTCGACTGCATTCTGCTACTCTTGTTAAACAAATTTCAACACTGAGCACCATCTGCAAGCACCTTTCTTTGCTAAAATGTGGATCGTATAAATAACCTGCACGGAAAACGTACATTTTCAAGATGAGGATCTCGTTTTTGGCTGCTTTTCGTACTTTTCTTCCATCTTTCTTCAGGAACTTTTTACAGGTGTACATTTTCAGTGTGTTCTTGTCCTTTGCCCTGAAGATTTCACAAAACTCCTCCCTGTTAATGAAGACGATAAAAACACATATACAGTGCTGTTCAGTCAACATCGAAAATCTGGGATTTAGAATCTAATTTACACGTAGAAAAAAAGTATATATTAAAATTAGAAAATTTAGGAGCATATATTTTGCACAAAAAGACTACTATAAACAAGAGCAAAACAAAAGGTAGCCATAACCATAGATTGGCACTCACGATTTCACTACCTGTCCCAGGTCATACTTATCGGTGACCTCTGAAGGACTGTTGTAGTCCTTCTTCTCTCCCAGAGTCAAACAGCCAAATGGCATGGCTGCTCCTATACCCTAGAAAGCAAACACAAAAAAAGATATTTAATGGTCCTTCAAAAGTCATGTTATGGAAATGGATGATATGGACATCTCAAACCATGACATTTATTGAGGAGAGGGGTGCTATTAATTCTCTAAGCAACTGAGCTTATGATTTTTGTTTGGTTGCTGACAGATTTATATTAAAGGAGGGACCCAAGCTATATCTAGGGACCAGAATAAAATTTGTGCCAGTAATAAAAAAAACCACACCAAAATACTCTTAGCAACCATTCTAAATAACGTATACATGG